GTGCAGGCACGAGCACTCCTGCAGGATGCTCGTTTCCAGGCTATAGTGGCCCTCATCCGGAGCCTTCAGAGCTTCCCAACCTCGTCAGCAAGAAGTTGCTTGAGTCTTCTCAGCCACATGGCTTCCTGCACATACGTGAGGAGGCATGCCAGACTTTGACTCCGCCCGTTACAAGCCTGGCTGGCATCAGTCTATCACCCAGGTCGAGACTGCCTGAACTTGGTGGTCACCATCCTGGAGTGGATCCTGGCTTCCCTCCGATGGTAGATAGATCCCCGGGTGGTATTCGAAGGAGTCCCTTTTCACAGCCCGCAGCCCTCCTTGTCCCTCATCATGGAAGTGTCATCTCTGGGTTGGGGTGCCCACCTTGGGAACATTCAGACGCAGGGCCTATGGCCCCCGTCCACGCTCTCTCTTCATATCAACATATGGGAGCTGATGGCGGTACGCCTTGCCTGTCAAGCCTTCCGGGAGCGGCTGCAGAGTCGTTGTGTGGCGGTGCTCACAGACAACACCACGGCCATGTTCTACATCAACAAACGGGGGGGGAAGAGGCCCGCTCCTCCCCGCTCTGTCAGGAGGCCGTTCGACTGTGGGAATTCTGTATAGACCACTCCATCACCTGGTGGCTTCCTTTCTACCCAGGGTCCAGAACATGCTGGCGGACTACCTGAGCAGATCCTTCCGCTCACATGAGTGGTCCCTTCAACCAGATGTCATCTATCCCATCTTCCGAAAGTGGGGGTTTCCCCAGGTTGACCTCTTCGCCTCCCGCAGCAATCAGAAATGTCCAGCTTTCTGCTCCCTCTAGGGCCGCTCCCCGGGCGCTCTCAGAGATGCTTTCCTGCTCCCCTGGATGAGTCGTCTATTTTACCCCTTTCCCCCGTTTCCCCTGGTGCACAGGATTTTTGCTCAAAGTACGCAGGGACAGGGTGCGAGTGATTCTGGTAGCTCCGGTGTGGCCCAGACAGCACTGGTACACCATGCTCCTGGAACTCTCTGTGGGCGCTCCAGTCCCTCTGCCTCTTCTTCCAGACCTGATTACTCAGGATCACGGTCGCCTCTGCCATCCCGACCTACGATCTTTCCACCTTACGGCATGGATGCTGCGTGGCTGAACCCTGCAGAACTTCGCTGTTCAGAATCTGTGCAACAAGTACTGATGGGCAGCAGGAAGCCCTCCACTAGGGCCACATATACGGCGAAGTGGAAGCAGTTCTCATGCTGGTGCACTCAGCCCAACACACCCCCTCTCCAGGCGTCCGTGCCTCTCATTTTGGAATACCTGCTGGGCCTAAAACAGCAGGGCCTGGTGGCATCCTCTGTCAGAGTTCACCATGCAGCGATATCAGCTTTTCACCCGGGTGTGAATGGCTGCTGTGTCTTCGCCAGTCCCATGGTTGGCAGGTTCCTTAAGGACCTTGACCATCTCTACCCACAAGTTCGACACCTAGTCCCGACATGGGACCTTAACCTGGTTCTCTCCAGACTCATGGGGCCCCTGTTGGAGTCACTGGCCACCTGCTCCCTCCTCTACCTCTCCTGGAAAACAGCTTTCCTTGTTGCTATCACGTCGGCGCAGCAAGTCTCTGAGCTCAGACCCCTTACCTCCGAACCACCCTACTATATCTTTCATAAAGATAAATTGCAGCTTTGGCCTCATCCGGCCTTTCTTCCGAAGGTTGTATCAGCCTTCCATATCAGCCAGGACATATTTCTTCTGGTTTTGCATCCAAAACCACATGCCAGTTGCCAGGAACAGCAGCTGCACTCCCTCAATGTCCGTAGGGCCCTCGCCTTCTACATTGAGCGTACGAGACCGTTCAGGAAGACGACCCAGCTCTTTGTCACGGTGGTGGACTGGATGAAAGGCCTCCTGGTTTCATCTCAGTGGATCTCCTTGTGGATCACGTTGTGTATCTGAACTTGCTATGATCTTGCCAGTGTATTGACCTCGCCCCTCACTACTTACTCCACAAGGGCCCAGGCCTCATCGGCGGCTTTTCTGGTCAGGTGCCGATCCAGGAGATCTGCAGAGCCGCAACTTGGTCCTCGGTACACACTTTTGCTTCACACTATGCCATCGTCCAGCACGCCAGAGATGACACGGCGTTTGGTAGAATGGTCCTACAATCCACGTTGATTCACTCTGACACCACTGCCTAGGTAAGGCTTGGGAGTCACCTAAATTGGAATCAATATGAGCAAGCACTTGAAGAAGAAAAACCAGTTACTCACCTTTGTAACTGTTGTTCTTTGAGATGTGTGGCTCATATCCATTCCAAATCCACCCCCCTTCCCCTCTGTTGGAGTAGCCGGCAAGAAGGAACTGAGGGGGCGCTGGGTCAGCTGGGGTATATATTGAGCACCATGAAGGCGCCACTCCAGGGGGCTCCACCACTGACCCACCGGGTGTTGCAAGGGTAAAAATTCTCTGACGACCGTGCACGCAGCGCGCACACACCTAAATTGGAATGGATATGAGCAACACATCTCGAAGAACAATAGTTACAAAGGTGAGTAACCGTTTGTTTTTTTTCTGGTACTGAAGTTAGGTTTACTGACCTGTAATTGCCAGGATTGCCTTTGGAGCCTTTTTTTAAAATTGGTGTCACATTAGCTATCCTCCAGCCATCTGGTAAAGAAGCTGAGTTAAGTGATAGGTTACATACCGCACTTAATAGTTCTGTAATTTCATATTTGAGTTCCTTCAGAATTCTTGGGTGAATACCATCTGGTCCTGGTGACTTATTACTGTTTAATTTACCAATCAGTTCTAAAATCTCCTCTGTTGACACCTCAGTCTGGGACAGTTGCTCAGATTTGTCACCAAAAAGAATGGCTCGGGTGTGGGAATCTCCCTCACATCCTCTGCACTGAAGCGTGATGCAAAGAATTCATTTAGCTTCTTCACAATGGCCTTATCTTCCTTGAATGCTCCTTTGAACCTTGATCATCCAATGGCCCCACTGATTGCTTGGCAAGCTTCCTGCTTCTGATGTATGTAAAAAAAAAATTGCTGTTAGTTTTTGAGTCTTTTCCTAGCTGCAAAATTCCAAAATTTGCTAGTTCCAGAATTCTTCTGCTGGCATGTACCAAGTGTATGCCATCAGTCTACATTCCCTAATATCTAGTCTGCTGTAGGACAGAAGTGTGTTTTCCAAAGTTTATTAACAGCTACAACAGAAATAAATATGGGGGGCTACAGAATACCAGTGTTTGTCTTCTTTCCTGCCCCACCAGTGGACCTCACATGGGGAGGCTGGAATTCATGGTTTTAGTACTGTGGCTGGTCCTGTGGGCAGCAGCTGCATGTATGTGGCATGCCACAGAAAAGTTGAGGGTGCCACGACCTGATCACTGAGAGATCAGTTTGGAGCACTAGCATCTTAATGGCTTCATTTGTGTATGCAGTGTTACCATGATAGCTGCGTAGATTTCAGCAAAATCTAGAATGCGTGTCCATGTCATAGAATAATCTCTATAAGTTTCCTTCATAGCAGCAAGTTTCCCCCTTACTAAGATACCCGTCTTTGCTAGCTATTTCTGTATAGGATGTGGCACTATGCTTTTTCCATTGAGGAGCAAGAATTACTTTAGCTATGAGTAAGAAGTCCCATGTTCAAGTTTATCCATTCTTGCACGCAGACAAGCTACACTAGACTACGGTCTTGTTTACTCTTAAAGGTTTGCTGGTATAACTTTACCTGCCTGATGGCTGGGGAAAGGATCCAGTTCCCATACTGCTACTTCACATTTCACTCCTTCCAGGATAGAAATCAGTTACTTGGGTCAGAAAGGGTCCTTGGAAGCAGTGGGATCTTTCAGATTTTGCCTATACCTCCATGGAAGTTGAGAGGGAGGAACAATGGGAAGCTAATATCTTCTCTGACCCTGCCTCAGAAATGGGTTTCCTCCTGCTTCTAGGAAGCTCAGGGACTTCGGAATTAAGTATGCACTGAGGTACAAAGTACATTTAAACAGTGACGAAAACCAACGTTAAAGACTATAGGTTTTTATGCTTCAGTGGAAATGTTTTCAGTAGTTAGACCTTTAAAGTGTGTCTCCACTTCAAAATTTGCTACTTCTGTTTTTCAAAAAATGTTCATGTCAGAGGACCCAAAGTACACTCAGTTATATTGAGTGCAATTCCACATTGATTGAAATGTAAATAATTTCTCAATAGATTAAGAAATGTCAGCAAAGTGATTCAAAATTAGCTACTAGATTAAATGGCACAAAACTTTGTTAAAACAGAGTTAATATTGTCCAGCAATATCTTGTGCCCTTCCAGAATGTCAAGTTCAGACTTCAGAAAACCAGGAAACACAGAGCTAAGGTACAACCCCATGTAACCTTAACTCTGGCCTCTTTGAGCAGTGCCCCCAAAACACTCCTACTACACATGCTCGCTCTGTCTTTTCACTGTAAAGGAAAGGAGCTATCTGCACTTGCCCTGCACTCAAACACTTAACATACTCTCCTGATAGACTACCACACTTGTGAAATTCAACAATCACTTCCCAAGTATATGCAAAAAAGCATTGCCAGAATAGTCACCTTTAATTTAAGAAAAGCTGCTTGTTTTTTGTTTTTTCTGGGGTGCTGTATCCCAGGACACTGTGGCAAATGGCCCCAAATTTAGATCACTGACCCTATTCTGAATCTCCAGGAGGCAAACCAAATTTCAAGGCAATCCAAGTAACCAGATGAATTGTAGCACAATTAGAACAGTCCAGCTTTAAACAGAAAGGGCTTCTTAACCTTAATTATAGTGGAGCTTGTGTTCAGCTATAATATTTGGCACTTATAGGAAACTAGCTTTTGAATTGATGGTGTGGAAAATATTAGTGTGTGTCTGTAAGACTTAAAATAGAGTTCCTGAACTTCAATAAAATGACTTTATAATAGATTTATACATACTAGTATAAAACTTTGCTGTATAACAAATATTTTTCAGTCAAAAACACTGATTAACTATGTTCATTTCTCTTTTACAGGCACTAATCATACTGGAGTGGCTATAGCATTTGCTCTGTTAATTATCCTAGTCTTGGTTGCCGGATTAATTTGGTATCTCTACAAAAAGAAACGGCTTCAGTGGGGTGGCTTCTTTGCAGTACGCTATGAACGAGGGATGAATGAAGATGAGACTGATAGTATGTTTACCAAAGATGGTTACTGACAAACTGTTCTTACTAATGGTTTTATTACAAATTCCACTGTGTGAAACTATGGGGAATGGGCTACTTGACACTTTATTAGTTCCTTCTGAAAAATGAGTAAGATGATTATTAACTCATGGCTAAATTATGCCCTCTAATACATGTGTGCAATTTTAAGGCAGTGGGAGTTAACTGAATTTGGCCTTACCTGTAAATCTTGCACAAGGTAGAAGTTCCCTGAGCCTCTATAGCTCTGTGATTCCATATTAACTCTGGGTACTGCCTCTAAAATCTTTACCTACATTATCTTTTTTTTTTACCAAAAAAAAAAAAAGAAAGAAAGAAAAAGGTGTTTTGGGGGGGTTACGGGTGAGGAATAGACATTTAAACTGCAAACCAAACAAACTTTAAATTAAATATCTACCTTTTTCAGGCAATTATTGATTTAAACCATTGGTGTCAAAAGACATACATTTTGAAGTACCGTACGTTCCCTGTTTCTAGCATTAGCACAAAATATGATGATAAATACCAGATAAATGATATTTGGAATAACCACTTTTGTAATAAGTCGTTAAGTATCAACTGTGATATAATACAAAAAGGCTTGTAACCACTAACAATTTCTGTTCCTACTGAGGTAGAATCTTAACATTTGGTATGCTCATTATGGTCCATTGAGTGCAAGAGAGAAAAAAAATTATATATCAGAACATTGATTTTTTTTTTCTCAGAGGCCACCAAAAGGCCATCATCACTCTTCCCTGTCATATTGAATGATTGTTCAGGTGTCCTTCAGAGCTAGAATCATGACGTAGAGTATGCTCTTTCACTATGGGATTCTATCAATAAGGAAATATCCCTATTAAAGAACCAGGTAACACTTAAGTCTGAGCCTATTGCAGGCTCATACATGAATAGCCATGACCTCCGAATATGCTGCTGGTGTCCACACAACTGGGATTAAGGGCTAAATACAAACATGAGCAAAATTCAAACCTTATGTAAATACTCTGTTATCTTCTAAAAACAGTTCAATGAATGGTGTACTTTTCACTGTAAGGAGACTCTCTTTTAAGCAAGAATTTTCAGTCTTCTTTCATAGGCTCTGATTTGTGGGTGATGCAAGTACCCCATAGTAGGCATGTTGAAAATCAATTTGTGGGAATGGGGAGGGAGTCGTAAAGGAAGACTAGCCTTAAACTAGTAGTTAGAGAATAACCTTTAAATCTGCCAAAATCCATCCTATGTTTTTAAAGTTGGTATAGAATTAGATCTGAATGATGATGTCCTGCACTAACACATGGGAAAGACTCACAGTTCATTTCCTAGTCTGTTGCACTCTGTTGTGTTCAACTCCAGTTGTGTGCATACATGCTACAAATTCTTGATCTATTTACATATTAGTTAAACTTGATTTTTATGTGCTGTGTCAATTGCCTTTCCTATATACTCAAAAAAGGCTACTAGAGTGAAGGGTTTTTTAAAATATATAGTTCTTGATTAAACCATTACAGTAAGTCACTGTGTGAAAGTGGAATAATAATTATAAGAAAAATGTTTCTTAATGCACATTGTCCGTTTAAGATCAGACCTGTTTACCATTTTGAAGGAGTGAATGCTATTTAAGTAAAAAAAGAAAAAACAAATAAAACGAATACTGTATACAAAAGACCAAATTAATCCCTGGTGTAATTCCATTGACATCAGTGTTATTACATCAGTAGTACATTTGGCCAAATAAGCTGAGAATACTACTGATTTTTTTAAGATACACTGTTAAGGGTGGCCGGCCAGAGAGCCTATTTATGAGCTTATTTTTGTTGCTGATGCAACACTTTCCTTTGTGCTTGTTTGCACTGTTCTGATATGCAATCTTTTAAAATAATATTTAGAAGTACAGTATCTCTCTAGCAAGATTCTTGTAGATGGTTTTAGTACCCGTATACAAGAATAGGTACCAGACAAGCACGCTCAAGAAAATAGTTCTGTATTAGTTCTCTAATTGGCCATAACTAAGAAAAGAGAGTAAGAAAGAAATTGGCCTTATAGCAATTTATGCAAAAAACTTTTGAAATTGGCTGCAATACCTTGGAGTAAATTTTAGGTAAAACGTGTGGCTATTTAACCTTGTTGCTGTGCTTCACATATTGCTTTTACAACAGTCTGGTTCTTGTGATCCTCTATTTTATTATAGTTATGAAACATTTATATTACAGAAGCACCAAGCAGAGTGGGGTCTTACTATGGTAAGTGTTGTACAAACACTTGAGGACACAGTTCTTGTCTCTGTGTATTTAATGACAAAAATTTCCAACTAATGTGATAAAATAAAATATTATCAATAAAGCGATAGGCAGCATGGCCATGATCCAGCAAAGCACTTAAACGTGCGTAATTTCAAGTTAACATAAATGCTTAAATGTTTTGCTGGATGGGGTCTAAATTAGTGGATTTAGAGAAGTTTGTACTGTATTAAATAAAGTTGTATATGGTTCAGTGTCCTTTTCTAACAAAAGTACAGATCAGGGTATATTTGTACAAATATAAATTAGATACATGTGTGTTCAGCCTTGCTAGTTTTATGACTGTTTGCACTTATGGGCTTGCCTGGATGTGAATTTACAGACAGAAAGTGTATTTTTAATGTTATTACCAAGATAACTAACTTATGATTTCAAGACACACATGAATATACAATAAAAGGATACAGTGTTTTTATAAAGTGTTTCATTTGTGTATTGTTGTGAATTATGTAAATAATTTTGTAAAGCACACTTCCAATGTTTTTTGCAATATACCAATAAATGGAATCTTGGGTAGCTTTTATTTCATTGAGCACAACTGTCTTAGCATAAATGAACAGCCCATTTTCTGGACTGAAGTGTACAGTGAGGATAATATACAAACATGCTCTTCTTCACTCTTGAAAGAATAAAATTTATAAAGTCAGCCTAATTTTTTTGCTTGTGTGGGAAAAATTAACAGAGCTGAATGTTTGTAGAGCACCTAGCACAATGGTGTTTCTACCAAAGAGTAATAACTAATATGATAAGGAGGTTGAGTAGAAACTTTGTGACTGATAAAAATTGGTGCTGTTGAATTCTTTTATAATGAGAAAAACATGTTACTGTGGAATACAAGAAGACTCCTAATGACTACCAGGCTTCTGCTGCACGGAGCTGGCAATACTTAAAGAGAAATCTGGCCAATTTAAGCATTTAATACGTGCTAAGGTCTGATTCACTGGTGTCCATTTAATGAACCTCTGAAGTTGCGTAACAGCCCACAAGGGAATTCCCCTGAAAATAGGGGAAGTACCCATCAGGTGTAGTCATCTTATCTTCCAGCCTCAAGATACTTTGTCTGATGTATAATGAGACACATCAGTTATAAAATTTACATACCATCTTGTCTTTTTAAGATTTACTATGAATTCTCTCCTACCTAAAGGGACCTCTTAAATCTTTTTGGGCCAAATTCTGCTGTTCATACTGATATAAACCTCCCATTGACTCCAGTAAGAGCTTTTACTCAAGAAAGGACTGCAGAATTTGATTTTTTGTTAGCAAAGGAGACAAAAGGTCCTACAATGGTGGAGCCTGATTAAATGCAGGGCAGACCTTCTTCATTGGTGCTCAAGAATTAAGATAGGGGTTATTTTATCTTAATGTAATAGTATTTGTGGGTGAAGTTTACTGGGTATATTATAAATGTTAACTTATTCTAAAATACTAAAGGACAAGAAGAAGCATGAGAAAATGGGCTTTTTAAAAAACTATGTACTTCAACTCAAACTGGGAGTTGTCATGGGCCTCAAAATATATGCATCTATATTCTTCTTAGTGTCAATTGTAGTTTAAATTCCTTGGGGATGGGCTACATCTTCTGTGTTTGCACAGTATCATGTGTAATAAAAGGTGTGACAGGGGCGGTGTGTGTAAAAGATTGATCTTTGTTATCCAGCCTCAGTCACATGACATGGGTCAAGGCTACCAAAGTTTCTGTGTCTGTCAAATGGCAGAGGTCAGTAGCCTACTGACTCCAGTGGCTACTGTTGTTTCCCTCCCCATGCCTGCGTTGCCTGTTTCTCTCCTGTTGGAAATAAAATGCAAACAATATAACCCAAACGTAACCCCCACCACGGAATAGAGACGATTGATAAATACAGACAGCTAGGCCAGGCTTTTCCATTGCAGTTCACAGGCATGTTACCAGCACAATCGAATACTGTTGAGATTTCAACCTTATTTCAATTCAGTTTTCAACTTTTGTACTCAGAGCCTATTCCATGGTAGTTTCCACGCGAAGAGGAGCGTGCAGAAGTGCCGAGGTCAGGCGTTTAGAGGAGCCATCTAAAAGCGAGGGGGGAGATGGAGGACAGAGCACGTCTTACACTAGTGAGGTGAGGGGAGATTTCTCCTGTTAGTGAACTTACAGCGTCCGCTGCGCTGTGCCTGGTGGCTAATACGCACCGTTCGGAAGGCAGGGCACGCTCGCCCCCCCAGCTGAAGGCGGAGGGAAGCAGAGCTGGCTCTGGACAGCCCAGGCACCTGGGGCTGGGCGTGACGGCTGACTCCGGTCATGCCCAGCAGATGCAGGGTGAGCCCCGCGCTGGAGCCAGCCCTGTTGGGAGCGGCGCGTTAGCCCAGCCCAGCCTAGCCTGTAGGGGTTGGCAGGCTTCGGGGGCCGCACGCCCGGCCGCCGGCCCCGGCCCCGGCCTGCCCCCGCAGTGGGTGGTGTCCGGCCGGCGCGCTGTTCCCCCCTGCAGGCGCAGCCCAGGCGGGAGGGGTCGGAGCCGCAGCCTTCCGAGAGCCGGCGCGAACTAGAGTGGGCCGGGGCTATGGAGCCCCGTTTCCCCGCGCTGCTCTGCCTGCTGGGTCTCCTCGCCACCGCCTCCGGAGCAGCCGGTAAGGTGCTCCCCTCCCGCGCCTGTCAGCCCCCACCCTCCGCTCGGGGTGCGGGGCCCCTGCCTCCCAGCAGCTGTCCCTCTCCGGCCGGGCGGGCGGGGCGTGACACCCGCTGCGGGAGGAAGCGCAGCCTACGCTGCTGGGTTTGCGGCCCGCGGAGTGGATGGGGCCCCCAGCTCGAGGGAAGGCCCCCCCCCCCGTTCATTGTAAGTCCATAGAGGGGAGGAGTTCACCCTGCCAGTTGCATATTTCCCATTGCGGGGGCGCTGTGTTGGGCATTGCAGGCCCCTGGGGGTTGCTGCTGTCTGGCGCTCTTGGCCTGCCATGAAAATAGATATTGTCTGGGCTAGAAAAATAGGCTATGTTTTTAAACGTGTGAGCGAAAACATGTTAACTAGCCCGACTTGAAACAGGACTTTGCACCACTGCAGCAGACATGGCCGGTTGTGTTAAAAAACCTGATAGCCGGCAGTGGTCAGCCTTTAAGGGAGTCTAGTGTTAGCCACAACCAGCAAACATTTTGAAACACAGCCTATTTTCAAATCTAGACAGGGCCACAGTCCCGTTATGTTTTTAGTCTTGCTCCTCATATAAAATCAGATGAGAGGCAAATTCATTTCCTGTTACTCAGGAGGGAAGAGAAGGCTTTGTGTTGTGTGCTGAGAAGTTTCATTTTCTGGAAAGTCCATTTGGCTAATGTATAGCTATTGAGAAACAGTGCAAAGCAAGGAACCCTTCTGACATGGGGCATTAAAAAAAACCATAATATAGTCTGGAGTGAGTGCCTTCTCATGCTTTTTTATCAAAACTAAGGACCCAGTCCTGCAAAAATGTAGACATATGTTCAACTCTAAGCATGTGAATAGACCCATTAATTTTATTTCAACTGGACAGTTTGAGTGAGTAAAGTTAAGTACGTGCATAAGTATTTGAAGGATTGGGACGTAATTGTGAAATGAAAAGTAGCAAAGGAAAGAACCAGTTAAACTAGGAAAAATGACACATGCGATGTGCTCCTATCAGTTAAATGCCTAATACCTGGGAACAATATTTTCCCCTTACCCAGGGTAGGCTTTTAAATAGAGCTTTTCTATTTCTAGTTATATAATAGGACTATGATCCTACATAATTGTGGTAAGGAAAGTGTGTGCACATTATCAACATATATATCAGCATTATGGCATAGAAAAAAATCATGTTAGTCTTGCAATTTATGAAAGAATTGCATTGCTACACAGTCATAAGTTATATGGTTAAGTGGTTTTGATTTTTCAAAGTACTTCAAAAGAAATGAAGAGGGTTTTCTCCTTTTGAATTTTTCAACATTTCTGCATTTTTCCTAGATAATGCTATTTACTTACTTTTCCACTTAACATGACTAATAAACTGATCAGTGTTATTTGTTAATGCACCAACATAATGCTGCTGTGTTTAGGTTACAAATTGTGTAGGGAAATGTTTAAATTCATTTTTTTAAAAAAAAGTTTTAATTGTTATGGTAAAAGTGTCTAATGACTTGCATGCTTGCTTATACATCGTGACCCCATTCAGGATGAAACTCTCCACAGAAAGAGCAAAAGATACTGTGCAGTAACTGCACACAGAGACTAGCTCTTCTTTGTCTTGTCAGTTGAGGTACTGAAATTTCTGTGTGTCGCAGAGTAGCTACGCATAGTAGGAAGATAGGTGCACAAGCTCACAACAGCCTTGGACTAGGGTTTTCCCAGATGTAAAACTCAGGTGACAGTGGCTATTTCTCCACTGCATAGCTAACCTGGGTGACTGAGCACCTGGATCAGAGCATTCAGGTTAGCATAGCCTTGGGTATCAGCCTCCCCACTGCAAACCCCTACCCTAGTTACTGTGTCTTCACTGTTTCTGCGCTCACCCGTGTGTGTCTGGGGGCATGGTTCTTTGTGTTGAAATGCTCTAGGATTCTTTTCCGGTCAGTTAGGGAAGAACTTGTCTGTCCTTCAGGGGAAATTGTGGGAAGGCATTGTAGGGCTATCAGCGCTTGAATGATTTTTCCCCTCTGGATCCTCATCGCAAGGTGGATTCTAGCATGAGTTAAAGCAGAGCCCAGAATCTAATTCATGCTGCCAGCCTGGTAAGCTAGCCTAGGTTTAAAGCACCTCCAAATCCAGACCAGTGGCTTTTTTTTTTTTTTTTTTTGGTGGATGATAGGTGCGTTAACCGGGGCCTTACCTGGTTTTTAGCCTAAACTGTGCCTTGTAGACATACCCTGTTTGTTAAGGAAAGAGACAGGCAGAAGAGCTGCTTCTGGGAACAGGGTAGAGGTGACTTACTTGGGGCCTGGGTAATGGGGAGTTGCCTCTGTGCAGTTTCTTACAATCCCTGTGTGTGGAATCAAGACTTGTGTACATTTGGTAAATAAATAAATTACAGTAAGAAAATACCTGACTGCTTAACTGATTTCTGCTTCAGATGGGAAACTGAACTGCAAAGCCTCAAAAATCTGCTACCCTTGCCAAAGGACCAACATTATTTCTTTGTATTTACAGTAATGCCTAGAGGCTCTTAGGCGATGTCTACGCTAGCACTTCTGTTGGTAAAACTTTTCTCAGTCAGGGGTATGAAAAAACCACACCTCTGACCGACATAAGTTTCCCTGACAGAAGCGCTGGTGTGGACAGCGCTGTCGGTGGGAAATGCTCTCCTGATGACATAGCTACTGCTGCTCTTTGGGGGTGGTTTAATTATGCAGATGGGAAAGCTCTCTCCCATTGGCATAGAGTGGCCTGGCTACCCAGGAGACCTTACAGCGATGCAGCTGCAGCAGTACAGCCGTGCTTCTCTATGGTCTGTAGTGTAGACATAGCCGAAGTGAGATCAGGGCCCCATTGCGTTAGTCACTGCTCAAACACATAGGGCTAGTCTACACTAGAAGTGTTACAGCTGCACTGCTGTAGTGCTTCTTGTGAAGATGCTCTGTGCTGAGAAGAGAGCTCTCCCATCGGCATAATAAAACCACCTCCATGAGAGGCAGTAACTATGATGTCAGGAGAATCTCTCCCACTGACATAGTGCTGTCCACACCAGCACATAGGTTGGTGTAACTTATGTCATCACCCAGGAGAGTGGCTTATTCACACCCCTGAGTGACGTAAATTATAGTGACATAAGTGGTAGTGTGTACAAGCCCATCGTAAGAGAGCATCTGCCCAAAGAGCTTGCAATCTAAATAGACAAAATAATTAAAGGGGGTGGGGAAAGAATTAAAGCGTGGAGAGGTGAAGTGACTTGTCCAAAGTCATAAAGCAGGTCAGTAGCAGAACTAGGAAGATAACACAAGCTTCCTGAGTCCCAGCCCACTGCCTTATCCACTACCCCAATCTGGCTCTTGGACAAAACCCTAGAGTTTGGGCCAGGATCCAAGTAGCAGTTGCACACTGTAGATTTGTCTACAGACTCTACACAAACAATTAGACTGCAGCTAGCTCTGGTGTGAATCTGATCCTCACTAGCTTACCGCACAGTCTGTTTATGTGCAAAGTTCATTAATGAACTATTGACGCGTCTGCAGGGTCCATACAGACAGTTAGACTGCAGCAGATTAGTGTATGGTAGATTCACACTCCAGCTGGCTGCAGTCTAATTGTTTGTGTAAACAAACCTGTATTGTGCAAGAGCTTCTTGGATAGCTACTTGTCTACTTTGTGCTGCCCTTGATACATGGAATGGGGGTACACTTCATGCATGCTGGCCTTCTCGCTGTGGGAAAGATTGTCCCCATCTGTAGAAAATCCCATGAGAGGAGAGTTGTGGGGGGATGATAATTCCAGGCAGTTCCCCTTGCTGACTTTTCTCCCACATTGTTCTGTGGGGTGGGATGGAAATTCTCTCTCTTACCCTTCCACCACAAAAGGGAAAGGGATTTGGTCTCTGGAAGTACAGGACCATCTGGATGTAGATTATGTGCCTTCCCACTCCTTTCTGGCCTGAAATTGCTCTTTTTGATACATGCATCCTCCCATCCAGACACATCCATGCCCTCTCAGTCAGCATAGTACCATTAGCCTACAACAGTGGTTCTCATCCAGGAGTACATGTGCCCCTGGGCGTACGCAGAGGTCTACCGGGGGTACATCAACTCATCTAGATGTTTGCCTAGTTTACAACAGGCTACATAAAAAGCACAAGCAAAGTCAGTACAAATTAAAATTTCCTACAGACAATGACTTGTTTATACTGTTCTGTATACTATACACTGAAATGTAAGTACAATATTTATATTCCAATAGATTTATTTTATAATTATATAGTAAAAATAAGGAAGTAAGCAATTTTTCAGTAATAGTGTGCTGTGACACTTTTGTATTTTTATGTCTGATTTTGTAAGCAAGTAGTTTTTAAGTGAGGTGAAACTTGGGAGGGTAGGCAAGACCAGTCAGACTCCTGAAACGGGTACAGTAGTCTGGAAAGGTTGAGAGCCACTGGCCTACTACAAGCATGTTACAAATGGTTGGTTTTGAAGTGTAGGTAGGGCCTGAGTGTTGAAGAATGTATGGTATATTTCACAATTTACAGCAAATTTGTGTTGTAACTGTCATTCATTTACTGATTTTTTTTGCCTTGACAGTATTTTAGTTTCTCTTTTCTGTTGTCGAAAATAACTACATGTAATTGCGTATGCAAAATATAGGGCTTAAGAGTTTGTAGTGGTTCTATTTCTTTCTTTTTTAATCAAATGTACCATCTGTTCATTGCTCTGGACATATGCTACACATTTTTAAAAAATTGAAAGGGTGAAATAAATTCTGTGGCTTGTGAGTGATTCCATGGCTTTATGGCTGAACATAAACGAAAGACAAGTATCAAGATTTTAAAAATGGATTGTGATTTAGGTGAGTTTAAGTGGCTGCATTGTTGCCATTTCTGCAGTGCTGCTTTATTTTTAATAGTATTATATGAAGTACTTAGATTTTTATGGTTAGAAAAGACTATTCTGTTCTTAATAAGTGTGTGAAACTCTTACTAAC